AAATGATAATCTGTTTTTTCTTCTCGAAGTTGTTTTTACTATCAATTACTATCGAATAGAGGTTTGTCACTGTGTTTACACAGAACATGGTCGCCGATTAATGATAATCTGTCTTCTCTCCTCACTTTGTTTTTAGTATCAATTGATCTTTGAATGAGGAAAGATCTTAAGAGAGTTTTACATCTGTTTTTAAAAACAAGGATTAATTAATTAATTTTATCAATAGACTAATTTTAAATTTGACTCAACAAATATATAAAATGGTGAAAAGTATATATGTTCTATATAAATATGGCTGGAGTGCGGAGAGTGGGGTATCTAATGTCACAGAGAGGGGGCCCTCAAATTGTTCTGGATGGTTATGTTTACACCAGAAATAAGGTCAGACAGACCTGCACCCACTGGAGATGCATCGTCAAGACCTGCACGGGGAGGTGTTCAACTGTCGGAGACTTCATTCGAACACAGACAGAGCACAGACACCTGGATTGATGCCATGGACTCCTCCCCAGCCTCTGACCGCATTGAGGACTTCAAGGATTACATGGTCGTCACATGGGTGGACTATGATGCCCGATTCCCACTGTCACTTTGGAACCATCACAACACTGTAGGACCAAGGACCAACAACAACTTGGAAGGTTTCCACAGTCGGATGAACAGATCTCTTCCACACCGCCACCCCAACATATTTCGCTTTGTGGAAGTAATTCGGAGGATCGAGATGGCTGACAGAGCCAAGCTGAGACAATTCGACTTTGGGGCTGCTCCTCCAAGTCGCAAGCGAGTCTACAGAGAGATCGACAACAGGATCCTGAGGCTCAAAGACACACTGAGTCGCGGCGAGAAACTCCTCTTCAGTTCCTAGATGCGGTGGCCAACCTCATAAAACTTGGCTAACAAGACATGAACTTTACTGGACTTGCTATAACTAAGCTTTACTTAGATCTATAAATACAGAAAAATATTGCTATGTCAAAGATATATCTACTTGAAGCTACTGTGCTACTATTATGCATTGTTATTTGAAAAATATTATATTCTTGTTATCAAATAAATATTAGATTTTTTGTGTGTTTTTATTTGGACTATTCCATTATAATGTGTAGGTAACAGGTAGTTGCTCATCTGTTCATTGAACCGTAAATGTTGTTGTTTTAAGGTGTCTGCGAACTGGCTGTCTGCGTAATGGGAGGACACCTTCCAGACCGAAGGAATAACGTGTGTATTCACTGAGAATTGACACAATCTAGTGAAAATTGTACACAGTTGAAGTCTGCACTCCTTCAACACAATGCCGTCAAGGTTGTCAGGTCCTTTTGCTTTTCTGATGTTAATTCTGGAGAATCCCTGGACGACTTTGGCTTCCCCTTTCAAACCATTGATCAGGTCCGACGGGTTGAGAACATTTTAGAGGACAAAACAAAAACTTCTGGTGAGGAAAAAGCACATTTTCAAAGAACACAAAACCTTAAGTTAATGATACGTACCTGGATAATCAGAAAGTTGTAACACTGATAATCTCTAATATCAAAACATTCCTGAAAACTAGTATGTGATTTGAATTAATATGGCAGAATGGTATGATTTGAATATTTGAATATATAAATCTGAATGTTTATGTTTTGTTTAACCGAAATGTTTTACTTTAAATTTTAACAGGTACGTCATCTATAACTGTGATTTGGTGTGTGTGTGTGTGTGTGTGTGTGTGTGTGTGTGTGTGTGTGTGTGTGTGTGTGTGTGTGTGTGTGTGTGTGTGTGTGTCACAACCAAAGAGGTGGTGGACAGGATGATGTCACTTGTGTTTACCACCTCAATGGCCCGCCAGTTCAACTGGTTGGGGAAGACGCCCAAATGGGATGTAAGGCATGAAGATTACAGCTGCTATTAAGGGTATTGTCACTTTTTTACTTTGTTTCACACAAATAAATCTAATATGAATTCAATGACAGTATTTTCAATGAAATTGTCTTTCAAAAATCATTTCAATTTGATTCAAATCTCAAAAGTAGATAAGGAAATGTAACGGCAATTTAGATAGTCAGAGCAAATCCTCAGTCTGATTTTTCTTCCACACAGAATCAGGTAAAAGCAGCAAGAGTACTGAATGCGATCTGGAAAGTGCCGTGAGACTGTGGTTGAAGAACGCCAACGACAGGGATGGAGGCAGGAAAAAGAGGGCAGAGAAAAAGAGGGGTGAGATGAGACCATACATATTGCAGCGAATTAGGCGACTGGGCCCTCCGGGCCAACACAGAAACAGTGGAACATCGTAGTGTAGACATAAAGTGTGTAGAAACGATACGATAATTCGATCTAAGGTTGTGTTATCTGTCGTGCATTTAGAAGAAGAAAGCGCATGCCGCTTCAACGCAATTACTGCATGATTGACAGATTTTGTGTTACAGCAAGACCCAAGGAAAACTTCTAATAAGGAAGCGGCTTGCGCTCAGTGGCATAAAGATGACCTCTGGCTATTTGTCAACAGAGGGTTGTATGGAGTTGTTGACTGTCCAATTAGAGTTGTGAGGAATACAGCATGACAACAGAGAACGCTGTTCGGAGATTTCCTTTGAGGCTCCACAGAGAAGGCATCGCTGACGTTCCGCGTGCAACACGAAGGCTTCGTGACATTCGTAACTACTCGCCTCTTTCCGTGACCTACAAGAAATCCCGGAATTACACGAGTAGTTACGAATGGGCTTCGTGAGTGAGTGAGTTTAGTTTTACACCGCACCCAGCAATATTACAGCTATGTGGCGGCGGTCTGTAAATAATCGAGTCTGGACCAGACAATCCAGTGATCAACATCAAGAGCATCGATCTACGCAACTGGGATACGATGGCATGTGTCAACCAAGTCAACCTAGTCAACCACCCGATCTTACGACATTCATATGGGTTGCTGAAGACCAATTCTTGCCCGGATCTTCACGGGTAATAAAACGTATTGGTCCCATATTAGCGAGTCTGTTTATGGCCGCTTTGAATAGTATAACACGTATCGCACGGTGTGCGAGTTCAAATAAGAAGATCCCAACAATGCATGACGTACATGTTCATGAGGTCATTGTAGTGCTGACAGCTCAAGGATCGATTTCGGGTCAATTTTGGGTTTCATCAGAGAATCCTCCTATGACCATTGAACGCATAGGGCAGAGGATTGCATTAAACTCAAACCGTGCCCTCTACTGTAACCAATGAGGACACGAAGAATCTACTTTTTTTTTCTCTGCGTGTACATGTTGTCTAACGAAACACACCACACTACTCGACCTATATGACAACGTTATGTAAATAACCTAGGCTGGACCACACAAACCAGCGATTGATATGATGAGCAAAGAACCACAGGGTACTATGATAGGCTATCAACCCTGACACTCAGATATCCATTGATACCCATTGACATATAACCTGCCTCTTACGATCAACATACGCTGCTCGGGAAAAGTTGCAAAGTTGCAAATTTTCTGCATGATGAACAGAGGCAATTTTTTAACAAACTCACTTGCCTTAGGTGAGACCACATGTGTCACATGTGCTTCGTTGTGGGACAGGACTGAAGTCCTAGAAACTCTCGGTAGTCAAGCTGCCAAACACGGTCACCCATCCAAGGACTACACTCATTGTGTAGTTTCCAACATATTCAAGCTTATATGAAGAAGTTTTTTCATGAATGCTGAACTTGAGGCAGGTTCCACATAGCTTGACTATTTTATATCACTGTTTGAAATTATCTGTCTCACAGTCCCTGAACCACATTACTATATTCACCACTACTATCCCTCCCTGCAATGCTAAAGCCCTAAATGAAGCGAGTCTAGATTTCCCCAGGTTCTCGTCTCCCTGGGGCTCCTATCAATGTAATCCGGTTTATTTGTTACAATCAAAATTATATTATATTCAGAGACTAAGCTTTGGTCTATTTTCAAGATCGAAAAGTGCGATTTTGGGTAATTTGAATCAATATCAGAACCAGAAATAACATTGACAGTTTATATTGTTGGATGTAAAGAGGATAGTCAGATCGTGTTTTTTCTAGTATATTCGCGTGGATGTTTTTTTGTTTGAGACACAGCATAGCTGTCTGTTACGACTTCAAGACATATTTCCTTCTTTGGAAGAAGTCAGATGATCATTCAAACTACAACACATTTGGTTTTGATCGGCATTACATGTAAAGGACGTTTGTATTACGCATTCAAATGTTTTAACTTCAGGCGAATTTATTTCTCAAAGGGCTTCTTTTCTGGATTAAAAAATGCATAAAAACACAACCCAAAGCAACAAAAATCCTTTAGGGATGAAACACATAAAATAGGATCTCACGGCTTACAGTAAACTTTATATCTCTATGAGTGGGTGAATACTGTGTTTGCCGCTTTCACAATAATCCTGTAATGCGGGGAGCTTTCGACAAATCGGTTAGAATCAGTGTGCGAAATAGTTTCCAAATTTTGCTAGGCAGTCGGGCTAGCTATATGCCTGAAAGTTACTAGATCACAAAATAATTCACTAGCCCGAAATTTGCAATTGAATGTAGAAACTAAGCTCAAGATTGCAAAAAATAAATGAGAATAAGATATTGTCGACATGACTTCATTAGGTTGCTAATATGATGAACATTTTTATCAGGCCATAATCTTGCATGATCTAAAAGTGTATTATAACTTAACAAGTAGGAGAGTCATATATGTGCAAAATGACCCCATGAAAATTCACTAGCCAGTCTGGTCAGTGACTGTGGAGAACGATAACTTGAAAGAACAAAGTCGACAATAAGCTTTCATGTTTTACGCTTAGGTGCGCGGCATTGTATATATCTACACAACCATCACATACTTTTCTGCATACTAAATAACCTGAAAATACCAAAAGTTAATTCAGTTATATTTTCACAAATAAATTTACTGATATTTACATATCGATGTCATGTTAAAATTGGGAATAAATGGTAAAACTGCGTCTCAAAACAAACACATATTTGAGAGTAGCCTCCCTTGGTTATTTCCCAAAATCCATTGCAACTTCCTTTCAACAAGACCCCAAAGATGGTGAGCATGTACACCTCAATACATGTCTAATCATCGTCCTTATATCGTGCCAATCAGACGGCATAACATCAATTAACAAATATTTTCTGAAAGTACAATGATTAAACTAACGTTTTCCTTCCTTTTTAGGGTATAGACATTACACATAAGTATGACCGAAAGGTCAGAAGGACCGAGCCCAGGAGCCAGGATATCTACCTGAGGCTTTTGGTGAAAGTAAGTTTTGTGTCATTTGCTCTCGCATGCTATTGCTTTGAACGTTACACTTACAATTAAACGTAACTGTATAACTCGCCCACGGCACTGCACGATGGACATACGTGCACGACTTTTAAGTTCGATCTGTTTCATGATCATCGCCTTGGAATGCCATGTTGTAATTGTCACTTCATCGTGTTCATGTAAGTTTTAACCACCGTACATGTGATTTGTTCATATTCATGTGTACGGGGATACCTAAACTACTATCTAATTGGCAATGCCTTTTTCAGTTCCCTGTTGAGAAATAGACTATTCTGATCAAGTATATATTCTTGTCTGCTAGATATTTGGTGTTTTTTTCTCTGACCCATTTGAAATGGCATTTCCTCAATACTTGTAAAATGTATTAACATAAGAGAAGCACCGTTATAATTATGAATATATGTAAGTTGTAACCCATCAACAACAAATGTCTGTTTACATTTTGACAAGTTAACAGTTCAATGTTTCAATGTTAATTTTTTTCCTGTTCAGCACAAGTATTCCTTTTCCTGTTTTCAGCTGTACCGCTTCTTGGCAAGGAGAACCAATGCCAAGTTTAACAAGGTGATCCTCAAGAGGCTGTTCATGAGCAACACCAACAAACCTCCCATGTCACTGGCTAAAATAGTAAGTAGTACCTCTAGCCATAGACAGAAGTAATATATGAAAGTCTTAGTTTGATGCTTGTAAGGAAGACTGGTGTTGTGATGTTTCATCTTTCGGGACTGATTCTAATGAAGTCAGATTTTTGCTGAACACCATGTAGCTAAACCTGTTATGCTGCGGAATATGATGCCACTCATAATGTATGGCTAGTGGGGGGTGATGATGATTTTTAAATGGGTAGGGGCACAAATATTGTTCTGGGAGGTAGTCGGGTCATCAGGTTTGTTTATAAGTACTAGGGAGAGGGGGTGGTGAGCAATTTTGTACCTAAAATTATTATAAAAATATGCTTAAAAATTATAGGAAAAAGGGGGTGTAATTGATTTTGAACATGACAAGGTGGGATGTTCACTTACTTTCTTTGTGCATAAATAAGAGAGCATGTAGCACCACAAATAGCATGTCACCAAATCCATACTGAAATGCTTACGTTGTTCTTGTTATTAGATTGTCTGATTATAAGAAGTTGTCATCATATGTGAACTGTTATGTCATTCAGTAGGTTACTCAAAATGGTGTATGTAAATTAAGCAAATTCGTGTAATCTGATTGGCAGCTCATACATATGTACTCTAATCTTGATCATATTAGAGCTTTAGATACCTTGACCCAGGAAGGTCCGGGTTAGAATTGATCTTCAGTAATTCATGCTTGTCGTAAGAGGCGACTAACGGGATCAGGTGGTCAGGCTCGCTGACTCGGTTGACACATGTCATCGGTTCCCAATTGCGCAGATAGATGCTCATGCTGTTGATCACAGGATTGTCTGGTCCAGACTTGATTATTTACAGACTGCCGCCATGTAGCTGGAATATTGCTGAGTGCAGCATAAAACTAAACTCACTCACTTTAGATACCTTGCAAAGAACTTCCTTTGTCAAACAATGGATAGTCATATAAGTGCCTCACTTCACCTTGTAAAATGTCATTGTCTTTGACAATTATGTCTTGAAATGTTTGGGGGATAGGTAGACAATGTTTTCAGTCATTGCATGAAAATTCTTTTTAGTTATATTATTGGTACTAACTGTCATCATCCAAGACCTGTAAGAAAATGTGAGAATGAAGTGAGAATGTTTTTCCAGCTTATTTTAGGATACAATCACAGATAATCTCTAAATGTAAGCAATGCTTTACGCAACAGGGAGTACATTTGAGATTTTCAAATCCTCTCTTGTGATGCTTTTGCAAGTTTCACCTTTTCATTAGCACCTTTTCATTAGAGCATATTTAGTGAGTGCCTGAGGCATAAAAAATTAGGAGTCGTCATGACTCTGGTGTCATGAGAGGGAGTCATGGACATGTTTTTGGGAGTCAACTTCAGTTGGGAACTTTCATCATCTTAACTAACGGCCCAGTAGCATTGCAGGCGGTGGGGTGGCCTAGTGGTTAACGCGTTGGCTCGTCACGCCAAAGACCCGGGTTCGAATCCCCACATGGGTACAATGTGTGAAGCCCGTTTCTGGTGTCCCTCGCCGTGGTGTTGCTGGAATATTGCTAAAAGCGGCGTAAAACTAAAGTCAGTCAGTCAGTAGCATTGCGTCAACAATGACGAATGCTTCTAAATTCACTGCGTGTTAAATACGCAGGTTTTCTGAGTCATGGCAGACACTGCATATTTGTTTATCACCTGAAACAACATGAGGTCCTGGTTTTCACTGTACGCAGTTGAAGTTCAATTTTTTCCTAAACATCTCATAAATAGGACTGTAAGTTGTACTTGAGTACACACTATACAAGAGTAAATACTATATAGCCACCTTTGTCGGTAGCAGTCTGGTCTTTCCATTTATGGATTAAAAATTAAACTATTACAAATCTTTCAAGATTTAATTTCAGGAGTATGCCGCTTTGTGGCCTAACAGAAAAACCACTTTTAGACTGGTGTATTGGCTTGAATGTCGTTAGGGTTCAAGTGCCAAAATTTCCCAAGGGGCAGGTTAATTGTAAAATTCTCCTTGTCCAGTGTTATTTTGGACATGCCCTGCTAAATCAGAGAAAAGAGGATATATGTACAGGGCAGATATAGAGATGGCTTAGGCATTGCGACAAGACAGTTTGGAACCTGGAAACGTTTACACTGACATTTTTACTTGATGATGTTTGAGTTACTTTTGGAATTAACCAATGGAATCAATTTGGGATATTTATCCAGAGAGTAGACTGTTCCCCTGCCTCATTTGCATATGTTTGCTACATATGCCAGCTAGATAAAGTAAAGAATTACGGAAGGGAACCAGTCTAATGCAGCAAGAAGATTGTGTAAAGGGAGGTAATTACAAAAAGGTTTCAAATCACACAATTTAGCTTCAAGGTTTTTGAATTTTTGTGTATATTAAAAACAAGAGTTTTGCAAAGATTTTATTGTTTTGTGTTGTATTGTCATTTATGTTAGTTAATAAATTGTATATTTTTCACAGTTCAGTCATAACAAACTCCAGTATACTGAACAAATAATCGGGCTTGTGATTTATTCACTGTAACATACAGTTATTAACATGAATTGAAAGAAATATTTACATCAATGAAGATTTCACAAAAACTATCATTGTTTGTTTATCAAATCGATTTTATTGAACTGAATTCTGAGGGTCACTCAAAACTTGTGTCTAGCTTGACTCGTATGATAATATTTTAAGAGTCTTTTACACAATTGTTGCGTCAAATACGTGGGAATCATACGTCATGTAAAACACTGTTCCCATTGGCCAGGCTAAATGATTTTATGGGTAAGAGGGGCATACCAATTGAACACCCCTGGGTTATGTAGTTAATCATGGGACCATCCTGACACTAAAATACTGTTGGAATGTCACAAGGAATCTATTTGTAAGCAGATCTTGCTTTTATGTTGAAAAGACCAGAGCCTAAAGCATGACAAGTATTTGCTGAACTATAAAGCTACTCTATCCCTGCCATGGAAATATCCTACAACTCATGAAATACAATTCAGTACGTTGGTTCAAAATTGTGTAGTCCATGTATAACCATGTATGGCTCCAGAGGCCCAGATAAGCTGCGTATCCGGGTAAAATACACATAGAAAATTTTCAATTACGCATTGAAAAAGAATTATTGCGTACGCGTACCAATTACGCATTTAAAATGTTAGATACGCAAAAAGTTCAAAACTAAATGCATACGAAATATATTTATAAAAATCGCTTGCGTAATGAAAAAGACATCGATTGCTCTCAAGTTGTACTGTTAGTATAGGACTGTGTTGTACTGTCAGTATAGGATGAGTGATTTTTTTATGAAATCATCCATTATATTTAATAGAGCTGTGACGATATATCGTAGTATCGATATTCGTGATACTTTATCTGACGATAAATATATCGATACTCTTTTTCGTATCGTGATAAGTATCGTTGACCTTAAAATTGTTAATTTTCACCAGATATTGACGGTTATGTCAAAACTTACACTGTTATTTGCTATCAAAATGTACATTTTGAAAGAAAATAACTAAAGATAGCATATCGTGATATGCATCGAATCGTATCGTTCCAAGATATTGCGATACATATCGTATCGTCACACCTCTAATATTTAAGTTGGTTTTGATTAGGTATAACATAAGGCAGGACATACCTGCTTAGTAAACTTACTCAATGACATAATACTTAGGTGAGTAAAATGACTGAAATACGCACGTATTTGAAACCAGAGGGTAACGGAAAATATAACACCCACTCAACATTCATAATATCCGCTACAAAAAAATACAGTGGGTACAATCCCCACATGAGCTAAATCTTATCTGGAGCTCTGGCCTCCTTCAAAAACTTGAACAGTTTCTTTTGAAAACATTTTAAAACTGAATTGTTACAAGATGAGTGTGATAACGATAACGTTTTTCTGTCCAGGTGCGTCTGATGAAGAAGCCTGGCCGTGATGGGAAGGTTGCTGTTATTGTTGGAAATGTCACAGATGACATCCGTCTTCTCAAGGTGCCCAAGCTGAAGGTAATGATCACTTTAGTCCTTGATGGTGACACATGTCAACTGCAGAAATGCCATCGTCTACGATTTTATCATAGTCACTACAAATTTTAGCTTCTAACTATGCCAATATGATTGCACTAGAAACTTTTATGAAAATTCATTAAAATTTGGATATATAGACAAAATCATATATTTTAGTTGATCAAATACATTTTTGCCAAAAAGAGAAGAAGGAATGTAATACTGATAATTTGGAGGTACAGGCATCCCTCGCCATAACGCGGGTCTTGGGGTCCATGGATGACCCCTCGCGTTATTAGACACCCGCGTTATAAGTAACGATTACATAACACGGAACAAAGGCCAAGTAAATTCGTATTTTCCATGGACATAACAAAACTGCTATTTCGTGTATTGTGCCCAGTCAAAACTATATCGTATTGTTGGAGGTGAAAAACCCAAAACTTTGTAAATAATAGATGTATGTACATGAAACTTGCAATCAAACATCACAAGACATGATAATTCAATTGTTGTTCCTGTCACGCTACCTGTTATTCAACTAAGCCGGAAATAGCAATCAGCTGGGCACACATCGATGTTTTGGTCCAATGTACCGGTGATTCAGTTAAAAACGATCCGAAAATATAACATCCAAGAATTTCTATTCCATTATCAGAATAATTGATATGTCAAGCAGTTATTCTAACAGAGATCTTATATATTGCTATCGTATAAGTATAATGCATGTTTTCTACGAACATATTTAACATAATAATAAGCATTGCTAAGCACTTTGGGTTACCTGGCTGGATACATTTTACGTAGGAAACAGTTTGACAAGTCACCGCTGACTTCCCACGGTACGAGCCACTTTGATTGTAAAAACAAAATGTTGGCAATTAATTGTCAAATATGACTTCAACGAGTCAATAACGCGGGTCTTGGGGTCAGTGGATGACAAGGCTGTAATCTGTTCGTGATTGCTGAGAAAAATGTGAAATTGGTGCTATCGCGGTAGCGCGAAAAGCGGACCCTCACGAATGTGGTAAGCGGGTGTTGTATGGAATGAGGTAATGCCATTTCACTCCACGGTTTCTCCGTTGTTATTGTAAACAGTTTTAATGAATGAAAATGGGATTGAATTTAATCACATAAAATGTGTTTTCTGACATCATACATTCTCGGATGGCGGTGTATACCAGCGCAAATTCTGTGCGGTGTGTTGCATCATAGCAAACGTAAGTACTCGGCTGATAATCGACATGTCTTTATGATAAAGTTATTACGATGTTTCGCTGTTCATCAATTATTATTGAAAAAGACCCTGCATGTTTCAAGCATCTGAAAAAACATGGATATATACGATAAACACTGTTAATTGCAATCCGCACTGAATTTCACTAGTTTACTACGTGATTAACCAGAGCTCAACAGCGGATTTGTTGATGTGCTATTTTCGATGACGTGAATATGTGTGATCACTGGGCAACTTCTTTTTATGGGAGCCACGGATTACCCCGTGGTTTAACCGAATCCGCGGTATCGCGAAGAGCGTTATTGCGAGGGATGACTGTATGTGGAATTAAAGCTTCACTCTTGATTAGTGTGTTATCTTTCTCAGAATCCATCATGATATGAAGTATTTATTTTCACTACTAATTTTATGATCAAACTACCAATACATTTTGATCCTTGGAACTACTACTTGCAACACTTTGGTGTTGGCATCCCTGCAGCTGTAGTAGTAATAATATGGGAACATGGGGAGGATCTTCAGCATATGGTGTAATGATGGTTCATCTTTCGGGACTGATTCTAATGAAGTCAGATCTTTGCTGAACACCATGCTCTTTAAAATTCAAAGTACAGAGATACATATAAGCTGCATATCTAAGTAAATTACGCAAATATTTATGTGAAAACTAAATTCCTATTAAGTCTATTGCATACAAGCATGCTTGAAGTTTTGAAATATTCAATAAATTTGATCTTACATGCATACAAACAAAAATGTTTTAGAGATTACCGAGGACAGATCAGATAAAGGAGGTATATTGAGAGATTCTATTTCCACACTTGAACTTGCAATCTTATTGTTCTCATATTACAGATCAAATACAAATAACAAACACGTAAACCAACATTTAAACTATTATATTTTTACAATTAATGGAAAATGGAAAAATACCCAATTGAGTTTGAGTGAGGTGGGTACAATTTATTAGGTTACTCAAAGGAAATTAGAATACCAAGTTGAGGTGAACACAAGCGAGTACATAATAACTCAATGACCCAAAAAGTTATCTGTAGCTCTGAAAGTATAACTGAATGGAAATAATGTAAGACTTGAAATTTGTAATTCTGGGGTAAGCCAAGTGGTTAAGGCGTTTGCTCGTCATGCCAAAAGACCGAGGTTCTATTCCCCACATAGGTACAATATGTGAAGCTCATTTCTGGTGTCCCCTGCCATGATATTGCTGGAATATTGATAAAAGTGCCGTAAAACCATACTCACTAAGATCCCTAGTTTTGTAGTCATGATAAACCCTGACTTTCTACTCGTAGCATAGCATTCTCACTGGTTCTCAGTGTGGCAAATTGTTTGAGAACCACCTGTCATGCTTTTATCATATGGTGCAAGCAGGATTTTCTTTATGCAATACAGTAAAAATGATATACTTTTTAAAAACTTAATACGTACACAATCTTTAAATCACTGATTCATGCAGCATTAAAGAAAATGCAAAAAATACAGTAAGGCCTACAAAAATTTATTTTTGTTCCGATTACCTGACCGACCCTTGAATTCTGGTGCCAACTCTAGTTTTTTTTTTAGAGGTATGAATAAAATAAGCTTTCGGATACCATTGTGTTTTCCTGGCACCAACGGACATCGGTCATTCTGATAAAGAAAGTCGACATGATGGCCACAAGCTTAATTGAATAAACAATTGCACATTGATAAATGTGTTGTTAGTTCATAATATCATATATTACTTTTAAAGAAAATATAAAAAAAAGAAAAGAATTCCCACCTACCTAAATTTTAAAGAGGTATAATCGGAACCCCATTTATTTTTTTTGGCCTAAGGGACCTAGATGAGCAGATGTTTTACCTGCACCCTATATTTTACATTGACTGACAAATTGCCCCAATGGGTACAGATTTTCTCAAAACCTTTATAGAGGGTAACCAAATGTGGTATGTATTTTCAAGACACAAATGCTTTGATGGAGTTCGAAAACGGAAACCGTGTTATAATTTGATACAGAGTTATGGCCCTTGTCATGCATTTCTTGACTTTGGGCTCAGTGTCCCCAATGGGAACAGATTTTCTCAGTAACCGTTATAGATAGGGAAACCAAATGTGGTATGTGTGTTCAGGACATGAATGTTGTGGTGGAGTTCGAAAAGGGAAACCGTGTTACAATTTGATACAGTAATGCGTTTCTTGACTTAATGCACGGTATCACCAATGGGGACAGATTTTCTCAACAAATGTTATTGATGGGGAAACCAAATGTGGTATGTTTTTTTCAGGACACAAATGCTTTTATGGAGTTTGAAAATGGAAACCGTGTTACGATTCTTTACAGAGTTATGACCCTTGTCATGCATTTCTTGACTTATGGCACGGTATCTCCAATAGGAACAGATTTTCTCAGTATAGATAGGGAAACCAAATGTGGTATGTGTTTTCAGGACATGAATGTCATGGTGGAGTTAAAAACAGGAACCAAATAGGAGCAGAACACTGATTGAGGGATGTTGATGACCATGTCTTCTAGTATTTGACTGTTTTAATTGAAAGAGATTTTGTTTTGTTTTTTCAAATGAACAAAGCTCATATTAGAATGTATTGAACACCATCTTATCTTGGGAAAAGGTACAAGGATTGTGTAACATGGCCAGTTCTTGTGAAACAAACATCAACATTATGAGCAGTTCTGTCCTTGTCGCATTTTGACATTTCTTCTGAAAAATGGATCCACCTCCTTGTAGTGGTTAGAGCGTCCGTCCGGAGAGCGGAAGGTCACGGGTTCGATCCCCGAGCGCGTCATACCAAAAGATGTTAAAATATGGTACTACTTGGTCCCTGCAATCAACATTAATGGTACAAGGACTGGTCGTCTCGGAGTCAGTATAATGTGTCTGAGAGGGGATTCCTGCTTCACTGCGGCATGGTATCTCAGTGGGCTAGCACTATAAAACCAGCTTAAGTCTGGGCTTTTACAAGCAGCGCACATACACATGCATGCACATCGTCATATGAGCGAAATATTCTCAAGCATGCCGTTAAACCCAATTTCACCTCTGAAAAATGGGATTTTAAAACCTGATTTAGCTATATTTTACCAAATGTCTAGCCTGAATTATATTGCCAATCCACAGTACATTGTCTTATGGATGAACATGGGTAGATCAGGTTTATGAAATATTGGTTTGTGTCTGATGGCAGATGACAAATTAATAGATGAAACTATTAATGGTTTTATTATAGTGAAGTTGAAATGTGGTACTAGAGATACTAATAATGTAATCTGTTTATCTAAAGATGTGTGATCATGTCTGTTTAGTCCAAGGCGATGACTGGTAGATTGTCGATTGGAGAATCTTATATTTTTTCATTTGGTAATGGACCCGTGATGATCCAGTTTAGAATTAGTCTTTGTGAGAGGCGGAAACGGGATCAGGTGGTCAGGCTTGCTGATTTGGTTGGCATAAGTTTGTGTTGTTGCATTCCAATTACGTAGATTGATGCTCATGTGGTGTATCACTGAATTGTCTGGTCCAGAAACAATTATTTACAGACTGCTGCCAAATAGCGTTACACATTGAAAAATCTACCAATCATTTGTTAAGCAATACTTGAAAGGATAGCTGGGGTGAAGTTGGTTTGGTGAATTTTGTATGGTCTTGGGCATGATGAGGTTGAATTGATAGTCTGATGCTTTAGAGCTATATTGCAAACATGTTTCTTTGTAGATATGCGCCCTGCGTGTCACTGAGCGGGCACGTGGCCGTATCCTCAGCAATGGAGGCGAGATCATCACTTTTGACCAACTGGCACTGAGATCTCCAAAGGGACAGAACACTGTGCTGGTGCAAGGTTAGAAAGATTGAGCTTAGAAAAACCTAGCTTGGATGAACAAATAGCTTTTTCAGGTTGTATAAAGCTAGGATGGCATTGTAATGATGTTTTCATCTTTCGGGACTGATCCTATTGAGGACAAAACCTTAGCTGAACAATTGCCATCAAACACTTTTAAATGGATATTTACTTGCAATTGAATTCCAGGGCAGACTAGGCCGTATTCCCCAATGCTTGTCTTTTGAGCTTCCCAACTTTCCAGGTTAGACTTGGAACTTCAATGTCCCACCATCCAGAGTTGATTGCTTCAAGAATTTATCTCGAATTCCCAGAATTATGTTAAATACAGCCTTAGAAGCATCATCATCATTTCCCTTGCTATATGAAAATTCTTTCTGAACTATTAATTCAATTATTAATTATCTGTAAGATTGTTTATGTTGTCATCGAAATACACAATGCCATTTCAGAAATTGGTCAAATGTAACATGTTATATTTGGGATTACTTTCTTAGTAAAGTACAGATTCTAGTATTTTTGTTGGGTTGAGTCCCATCCAGGATTCGAACCCACACCCTCAGAGTCAGGCACCTTAAGGGCCGTGGGAGCCGTGCCAATTAACACTTATCAGACGGGTACACAAAGTCCGCAGTCTAGACTACCAGTTGTCCGACTTCCATTTTTGTGGAAGCCGCGGTGGCTGAGCGGTCTACGCGTCTGACTTTGTGTGCTGGCGATTAGGTGCCTGACTCTGAGGGTTTAGCTTCGAATCCCGGATGGGACTCAACCCCAAAAAGTACTAGAATCTGTACTTTACTGAGAAAGTGTAATCCCAAATATAACATATGTTATATGTTGTAATCATTTCCCTGAATGTCACATTGCATACAAAAAAAATGTTAAGGGAGAGGCATTAAAATAAGTGGTTATTTATTTGCCGATCCTGTAACGCTTTCTGTTGCTAAGTATATTTAGTACATTCCTCCAAGGCCATGTGAATTAGAAGGTTTGGCAGCATGGATATTTGTGAATGTTAACCACAGAACTAGGCTTGATTGTGTACAGGAAGGAATATTGCTGACAACAACCTTCTTGTGTTAAACATATTGGTACCTTTTGATTAAGCGAATAGATTTATTGTTTAAAATGAACTTGTATTCTTGTAGGTCGCAGAAAGGCCCGTGAAGCATACAGACACTTCGGCACCGCCCCTGGTGTGCCACACAGTAATACTGCGTACGTACAGCACATTATTAGTTATATCCCAGGTGGGATGGGTACAGACTGTTTGATGGGTACAGAATTAAGTACGTTTTTTATATGCAGTTGCGCTTTAACAGTTCTGATTTATCTAAAGGTAATCAATGTTTCTATTTAGGCACACTGTATTTCTTGAATATGAGCAATATCATAAATGAATTTAATCAAATGATATTCTGGATTGAAGAGTTCGATTCAACATTGTGAGGTAATGAAAGGGAGACAACTCTTTTCCTCTTGTGACTTTACTGTTTATATCATCTATTTGTTGCAACTTTATTTGAACAGATTATTTGTTATCTAAAGTGTATCAGGCTTGTATTTCATGTTCAGTGTTTCTTTTCAGTCCATATGTACGCTCCAAGGGAAGGAAATTCGAGCGGGCTCGTGGTCGCAGAGCAAGCAGAGGCTACAAGAACTAGATCAGTGTACAAACTTCACCCAAATAAAAGCTGTCTGGGAAAAGTTCTGTCTTTTTTCCATTGATTAGTGTTGTATCGATCACAGGCCTAACAAAAATTTGTATATTTATATGATATACTTTGATTTTATGTTTGATGAAACAATCCTCTTATACAGAGGATGCCATTTTTTCCATTATTGAACGTAGTAACCAAATTTTAATGACTGACAACATATTTGAATGAATCTGTATCGTTTCAGATTCCCAATTGTTTTTGACAAAATATCAGTTTCGGCCTTATCCCTTTTGTTAGGGAATCTTGAATGGCCTACTACCTGAAGATGGTGTTTTGTAATTTTAATGTTGCTGGAATAAGGGTTGGGTAATCAGACTGATGTGTCCTGTTTGCGGGACTCCTAATATCCCTAGGATATTGTTTGTGTAATAGCCAGACAGTTATGGAGCTGCACTTGTTGGTCCAGACTCGATTATTTACAGACAGCAGCCCTATAGCTGCAACATTGCTGAGTGCTGCATTAAACCAACCTAACACGAGACGTGGCATCCACAGAATGGGGGTTTATATGTGAGGTAGGCAGATCAGGGGAAGCTGGTGAAGTCAGGCTCCTCCTTTATAGATGTTACCCATTTCTTAAGGACAGATGCTGGGTGAACTCTTACTTCAGGGATGAGAATATGCAGATCCGGATTTGATCGCGCTGGGTCTGCCATAGGGATCTGTGGCTCCCAGGGATCCCTGGGTCATGTTCCTCTGTTTTCACTCGTTATCATCACACCAGCTCAAAACAAAACACTGAACTGCCACTGTCAACTGTTTATTCTGACCAATATATTACAAGTCGGAAGTGATACATCTACATGCACACCTTGTAGGGTTTAAATACCTCCTTTTATTAAATAACTGGTACTCAATGACAACAACAATGCATTGTAATAACATGCATATGATACATAACAACGTGATGTGCTTATCTAGAGGGACTCTACTGGAGTTGGCAGGCAGAAATTTACACGGAAACTTCTAACTGCTTTGAAATTTATTTTTCAGTTCAATTTCACTGAATTGGGACAAGAAAACAAGTTATCTTACAAAACATTCCAAAACCTTACTGTCATACTTCTCTAGATTTGTCCTTTTGCAGCTTCTGTAACTAGTCTCATAAAATGTCATAGGTTTAAAACAGCAGACAAATCTGTCCAGTAGGCACTTGTAACTTTAAAATCTGAAAGCATGAACTGATCCTAAGTAGTTCCAACAATAACAACTGAACATTAAAGCACTGCACATAACTTGAGGTAAGATTTAGGGGAGAATATTACATAAAAAGCATAATTATCTGTACATATTGTATCGCCACTATGTGGTCTAACAGACTTGCCTATATGACTTGTTAGAACATTTGTACGAAACCTTGCATATACTCCACGATAGTTCATTGAATGAGGAATGAATATGCACTGTTCTGAATCATTTGTGTGTACTAATTAAAATAAACAATATCATGTATGCATAAATAGTAAAACTACTTAATAAATATGTCACAGCTGGGAAGGTTCATAAGCAACATTATCATTTGTGCAATTTGCTATGCTAAAAGTGTGTACACATTCTGAGATTTTTGTCCTCGAGAATACACCCCATCTTAAACTTCTCTGTACAACAGCACTATCTGTACAACTCGACCAGTGTCCACGTCAGCAACAACACTTCACAAGCCATTGCAATTATGATGATTAACATAAATCTTCCTTTTCCTGAAAATCATTTAAAAAGTCAAATAAATAACAAGATTGTCCATGGAATAACTTCATGCGATCCAGTGACGAGATCTTGTAAAGAACAGACTGATCATAATGGATTGAATTGAAGATTTACAAACATTATATGACTTAAACCAGTAATGCAATGACTATTATCCACCTCTCATGCCTATATCTTTGTCATGACCCGCCCCATAAAGGCAACATGCACAAGCAATGTTTAGTTTAATATGCAATGTCCACTTACTCGTGAACTTCCCTGAATATGTCTATTTGTGTACTCTCTTCTAAAGACTAAAATTAATCGTAACCATCTTCTCATTATTTCTGACTCACAATTTTGACAGATTCTTCATTTTCAAGTTCATCATAATCTCTTTCTTCTGAGAATAAACAAGACTTCTCTTGCCTCGGAGAAGGAGTGGTGCCGTGGTAGCTTCGTGTTGCTACTGACATGGACTCGGTAATATTCTGTATTTACATTTCACTCCTGCTAATGTTGTTAACAGCAGCTATTGCATACTACCCGAGAGATCAACGGTGTATTTCTCAGTGCAATGGGGTCAAGAGACATTTGGCTGACAGGTGCTTGTCAAACATTGCGAAATGGACAACAGATCAGGCTTGTCAATAGAATAGTCAAAACATGGAAAGAAAGATTAATTGTTGTATCTGGAAGAAATAACTGTCATTTCATATTGAAAACGAAACAAACAGAAGACCAGTGCCACGTAGTCATCTGTTTTGTAATTAAAAATGTTCAATTAATTAAATGTCCCACTTAAAACATGTTCGATTTACACAGGTGAATATGACAGCATGGGTGACTCCAACATTGATTTGAACAATTAGACATTTGACTTTTTTTAGCATAATAACACAGATGAGCGACAGGTTATTTTTTAACAAGCAACTTGTGATGGAGAATACATCTGTAGAATCATGTACAATATAAAAAGTATTTCACAAATATTCAACAGTTTCATACAATCAGGGTACCTGATAGTTCAAATGAGCCATTTTTAGAACGGACACAACCAGTGATGTAAAGATTTTTATCAAATAATAACACCATAACATTGGTTTGTACCTAATCACTATATAAGTTAGAAGGAAACAATCCCCCTTGGCCATTCTAATCCCTTATATGAAATCAACTTGGGTAAACATTACGAAACATTCGAAAACAAATCTGTCCATGAGAAACCCTGAATGGCACTGATTGATCTGTCTATTGACATGGTATAAGAAACATCCAAATTTAGATTTTACATACGAAAATTGCTCTTCTCCTCTTGCCCCCAACAAGTCTTTTATTGAAAAAGAAAATGATTATATCTTTTTCAAACCTAGTATTGATGAATGTTTGCTGGAAGTTTTAGATGAGTGAGTGAGGGCATTGGGTTTGATGTTGCTTGTATTCCACTGTTGTTCAATGTGGGTCAGCATGAAGTGAAGGAAAGCCAGAACCTATACAGGTCTTACATGGTTACCACTTGGCTACCCACAACCATGTGTCTTGTGCTGACAAACCTTATAACATGGGTTTCTGGACACCACTCTGCACAGCAATTGTTGTGCCTTAGAAGACTGGCCCCACTTTGATTATGAAGTATGTGACATGTACTGTCTAAGCAACTATATCACGACCAAAGCCAGGGTTTCTCATTACAGATACAGCTACCATCATTACCAAATTGAAGTGGCTCCAAAAGAGTCAGGCGGTCTGACCCTGCAGAGGAGCAGCATACAGATAGGGCAAAAGTAAGGGCTTTCCAGATGACACTGAAAACATTCTACACAGAAGGAAGCCAAGTCTTGATATTACATTCTGAGTGTGACCTTTACAAATGATCAACTACTTGTCACTAAATTCAAAGATCAATAGCTGGTCAAAGACATTTACTGTAAGATGTACATTAAGCAAAACACATGGATCTGAGTAATCACAGAGACTGTTTGAAAATAACTGAGGTTCCAGTGTGAGAAGTTTGGTGCTACAGTACTAGTATTTGAATCCAGGGACCCCATTAACTGACATGGACGCCAGATGATCGTGCTTAATCTCTTAACACTAGGAGGGGAGTTTGTTAAGACTGCTGCTCCAAGTCTGGCCTTACTGTCTGCTGGAGTGACAACAAAACGAGAGGAGTGTCTTCTCACTAATGATCCAACATGGAGTTGTCCATACTATTTCCAACATCCACATCCATAATCTCTGAAGCTCAATAAACTGTCAACTGGCAAAGGGGGAAGTCCTCATGATTCCAGAGTACGCTGGACACACAGACTCGGTTGTACCTTGACTTGAGAAAGACACATATAGAAACTGTAAGAGGAATACAGTCCAGACGAAAGAATTCGGTTTGACAACATCCTGCCCTGTCGTCACAAGTAGTTAAACATCACAAAATGCTGACATTGTTAAAGTTATTGCTGTTCAATCAGTGTGCTGTTTCTGTTGATATTCTTCACGCACCTGAAAACATACACTGATGTAAGTTAAGTTTCCTTGACTACACTGAACGAGACTAACTCCTGCAATATCTAGCGTCTTGGATACAAGGGACTCTCATTGCAGTACAAAGCACGTGCATAGACAGCATTGGGTTAATGCAGGATTCAACCCAGGTCATTCATGGCGTTACAGTTAAAAAAGCAACGACTGCACACAGACATGGTGTCTTCAATCAATCAGCAGTTTAGCACATTTAAAACATTCATAACACACCACAGGCTCTGTTAAACGTAAACAAATCAAGTCACGGTTTGATGGCGAGTGGATTTGTCTGGATTAGAAGTTCCTCGTTGATTTTAGATTTCGTTTCCTACAACTAAGCAACACTGACTGCTAAATCCATCAGAATTACTTGATTGGAAGCTGCTCACTTGGGTTATCCCTGATGCATAATCATGAGGAAGAAATGTGCCACAGTCCGGCAAGCAAATCTGAATCCAAAAGCATTCTCCATAGTACTCCAAGTGGGAAGAGAGTTCTCTCCCTTAGACTATGTACACAGCACTCCAGTTGTTTAACTGTCAAACTTTTGGCACAAGGCAAGTTGAAATATCAATCCTTTCACAGGCCCAAATCCAACAGAAAAAGTTCACAACACTGCTATAAACATCACCAAAGGCCTTAATTCACTCCAAATATGTCCATTTCAGTTTCTGGCATGTCAGTCCTCACTGAAAGACTTGCATATGTCAATGTCAAATTCAGGTGAAATAGATTGCTAAGCACTAGCAATTTGCACCAAGTATCCATCCAGCCTTTTGGTAAGGGCTGTATCACCATCACCACAAGGTTCCAAGCATTGAGCGATGTCTATGTACATGAAAGTGACGTGCGATGTATGAGGCCATCGCCATGGTAACCTATGTGGTAACCTCCTCCTCCAGCATCGCGTCCAGCTCCTCTGTCAGTCCTTGCAACATATTGTCTATGTCAAACAGCACATCGCCCGTGTCTCCGCCGGGCTTCGTCGAACTGCAACACACAGATGTATCATGATTCTCTCAAATACCTTTGACATTATTAGATGAAACATGTACTGAATTTCCAAACAATAACAACATGTTGTATATAGATGCAACATTCAGAAGTAATCTTTGGTGTGTTATCTGGCATGAGCTTTCACCTATTGACAAATTTTACATAAATTAGAAATGGGCAACAGAATACAGTCCATCAACATGGACTGTTTCTATTTGTTGATCGCAGTGCAAAAGTAAACATAAAAATGGTATCTAAAGAACCCTATAATCTGTGCATAATTATGCAAACTGATGCATACTTCTACATCTGGTGGATTTGATATTCTCTGGTGGGTTCTGGGATTTTGTCCCAAACAATACATTGTTCCAGATAATATTGTTCCATGCACACCATTAAGAACCATTACCACATTACAAAAACAGATTTATCGTTGGAAATGGTAGATGAACAACAGAAAGGATTGTTAAAACTAAATAATTATATAGCCTATGTCAAAGAAAATACAGGTAAACCTTATTTAATGTTTTGAAGCAGCAGAATATTTAAGTTGGTTCCTTAGCACAAATGACAGACTTACACTGGAGCTTTGTCATGGTTGCCTACATGCTGGTGTTGCTGTTGTTGTTTTTGATGTTGCTGTTGTTGTTTTTGATGTTGTTGCTGCTGATGCAGTTGTGCTGCTGGTCTCGGTTTCTGGGCAGGTACAGGTGGACGCATAATTCCTGGAAGATCAAGGCTTGATATATATACAGGAATAACACACTGGGATTTGCGTTGTCAAAGAATCTGAGGCATGAATTGTTTTCATGTTTTTACACCACTATTAGCAATATTCCAGCAAGCTTCACATATTGTGCCCATGTGGGGAATCAAACCAAGGTCTTTGGAGTGATCAGCGAACGCTTTAACCACAAGGCTACCCCACCTCCCTCATTTTCATGAAAAAGTCTGTGGTGAGACACCTGCACATAGCAGAGTATGAAACAAAAGTCAGGGTTCAATTGGGACTTATATAAATTTGATGGCAATCCACGAACAAGTCGTAGTTGAGGCATTCAGCCATTGTTCAAGAAGTACATTCAAGCAGCTACAGAGCACACTAAAGCAGATAAAAGTATGGTCTCACTCGGAATGGTTAATATGATTGTTTTTTTATCTGATAAGATTTGTTTTTACTTTGTTACAACTGTGGAACATTTAAAAAATTACCAACAATGTACGTTAGAATATGCAAAGGTTTCAAGGGAAATGAAACAAGACACTTAATGCAACATGTCTCCACTGAACTAATTGATTAAATGTTGAATAAATGAACAATCTTCTACTGCAGTCTGTATATTGGCTTAAACATTCAGCAATATTTCACCTCTGTCACTGTGAGCTATAAATATAGTAATTTTATTAACTTTCTGCATGACATTATAATAATAATAATAATAATCAAACAACGGTTCTAATCACTCTGCAACTGACTGGTTGTCTGTAAATTTGAGAACTCAAGACAGTATTTACAAACTGAAGAAATTGGAAGCAGGATTTTGGACAATGAATAGAATCTTGTGTCTCTTTATGCTGTATATATCAACACTCGCTCAAGAGGACAATTGAAGATTAGGTTGTTGGAACTAATAATGTATTGTGACATAGGGGCATCAGTTCTTGGAATTACCTTTCTGTGTAGGGTTGGACATGCCAGACACTGTCACTACTGGTCTTGGGCCTGCCGACATCGTTGGATTAGGCTGTGAATGTGAGATCATTGAGTTCTTACTAACAGGGCTATGGCCGAAGCCCATCGGAGTCCGTTTTAATGTCCCTGAATTCTCCTCAAACATACTAGAATTTAAATCTACACTTCTCTGTCCATTCATTCCATCAGAAATTTCAACTATAGAGGGCTTAGCAGCAGGAGTTCTTTGCTTAATTGTGCCAACATTTTCATTGGCAAAAGGCAAAGTATTTGAATCCACACTGGAAGTTGATGACGTCGATTCGAAACTAGTTGTAGAGTCACTGCGTTTGTCACCTAAACCTGTCTTCAAGTTGTCAACCTCAGAGGGTTTCACATTTTCATTCACATTACCCCGAGGTATTTCCTTTGGGGGAGACATGTGTTGACGCAGATTCACCCCGAATGTTCTACCTTCGCTTTTCTGTCCCCCGTATGCCCTCTTTTCATGAGGACTATGAGGATTGTGACCGAGATCCCTCCTTAGCTTACTCTGTAGTCCTCCAAACTCCCCTGCAGCTGCCTTGTCTGATTTACTAGGAATTCCGTAATTGTGAATTTTGGGTGTGATGATATCCATGGCGATTGGAGGAGGAGGAGGCGGGAACTCTTCCCCATCCGAAGATGTATTTTCTTGAGCACCATTCTCCTCCCGCTTCGACCCAAATCGTTGAGAAAGACTTTGCACACAGCTTGCAAATGCTTGCTGCTTGGGTGGGATCTCTTGTTGGTGTTGCTGGGGTGATGCCTGATGCTGGGGGGAGGCTTGATGCTGGGTAGAGGCTTGACTCTGGGGAGCAGCATGATGCTGGGTAGCGGCTTGACTCTGGGGAGCAGCATGATGTTGGGGCGAGGCTTGACTCTGGGGAGCAGCATGATGTTGGGGCGAGGCTTGACTCTGGGGAGCAGCATGATGCTGGGGAGATGCCTGAGGCTGAGCCTGTACAAGCTGCTGGGGCTTGACACTGACAGATGGTGGCCCAGCAGACGTCGTCATCCTCTTCTGTTCCCGAGCTTCTCCCCCAAAGTGTGCACTCTGGTGCATGCTTGGTCTTTGATTGGGCAATTCCTGGACATCATCTCGAGGAGTTGGTCCCTCATTTCGAATTGAGTGTGTTCGTTTTGGAGGAGGTGGTGGTGCTCGCTTGCCCCTTCCTGTTGGGGAAGGGGTGGACGGACCCGAGTCTTGGTTCTGTGTGTTGACAAACAATGGACTTGAGGGTCCTGGGCTTGTGGATTCACTAACAGGCATTTTAGGGATTGCAAGGTTTGGTTTGGGTTTTGGAGCTTTTGGTGGAGGTGCAACATGGGGTGTATCATAGATATGTTCTTGCTGGGACCCAGATTTCGGTTGATTCTTCTTCAAAGTCCCTGAAAACACCATTCCACCCGCCAGAACTGGGTTCTTATTCCCGTCAGAATTACACTCTGACTCATGTTTCTCGATTTCAATATTATCAGGTGAATACTCCCTACTTGATCTTTTTGTCTTAGCAATGATTTTAGCAACAGGTTTAGCTTTGACTTGCACTTTAGGTGCAACTGGAGCCACTAACACACGGTCCTCATCCCGAGGCTGCTCAGTCATGACAACGCCACCAGCAATGTCCTTATCCAATGAATTCCCTGACCGCCGGTCACCTCCTGGGGTTTGAAAAGACTGATATGTGATTGGCTGGCCTGCCATGTCCTTGCCTTCCGGTATTGACTCCGTTGTGCTGGGTGTCCTGCTTGATGACCTCTTCACCTGGATGGCTACAACATCGGGTCCACCAGACCCGGTCGAGTTCTGCCGCGTGAACACACTGTCCCCATCCCGGATGTGCATGATCCTCATCTCGCCGCTGCTCAAGCTGCCACCGCTGCTGCTGGTCCCACTGGCGCCACTGCTGCCGCTGCTCACGGTGGCAATGCTGTCTCCTGACGGTGACTTCTTTGGCTTGGCACCTACACCAAGCTCCTGTACGTACTGGGGTGCCATGTCGCCTGACCACCTCAAGTTGTTCATCTGAGACGGTGGCTCCAGTAACTCTTGTGAGCCACGTCGTTTCTCCACGGATGACAACCTCTTGCTGCCAGACATAATTCTCTTGAGTCTGTCGATGGCTAACATGATCTTTTTCTGGTGACCTGGAATGCCAAAACAGAATATGTATATAATCAAACCTTTTTAGCAATCCTAGCATCGACTTTGAAATCTGAAACTCTTCACATCACATCTCATACACAGCAACGGTTTAGTGAGTATGGTTGGATGCAAGTTATAGCAGTATTCCAAGAGTATCCTGGCAGGGGACCATTAAGCAGAAATAGGCTTCACATACTGTACCCACGTGGGGAATCAAACCCAATGAACCGGAAGCAAATGCTTTGACCACAATGCTATCCCACCACCAGAGATTCAGTTCAAAGGTTTCAATCGCTGAGAAAAATGAATTACTAAATTACATTCCTATCTGTTAATACCCATTTCTCCTTCTAAACACACAATCCTTCCGCATACATCATAAAAACAAAATCATAATTCCACATATCAAATGTTAGGAGGCCAAATAGATTTTAAAAAACCCACAAACTCTGAAAAATATCAAACAGTCAGGGTTTTTTTATATCTCAAAGTAAAGGACAATATCTGATACATCTCCAGTTTACTGCTCTGTAACTGCAGTCAGTACAGTCGTCACTGCACCCTCCCACCACACCAGCCGGGTGCTACAGCCCGATAACATGGCTTCAGATTACATCCCCCATCCTGGTATTGCGGTCATCTTATCTGGCCCTGCAAGGTAGCTTCAGCCTTATCACTTCCTACATTACCCAGGAGGGGGCGGATATATATAGCCATCATCTACCTTGTCACTAGATCAAGGGTGCCTGCTCACTACACATAACATTATGCCCTTAAGGGCTGGAGCAATGCCAAAACAATTTCAAATGTTTCATCACAATGCTGCTGTTTGTATATGAGAATTCTTCTTCACACATCACTTCACTCAAAACAATTAATTTTTTAAACCAAAAACAAAAAAATTGGTACTTCAGTTTATCTACAAAGCTGTTTAAGATGGTAAAAAATACATCTGAAATAATTATATACTAGTTCATGATGGAAAACCATGTAATTTATATCATACACAGATCCCCTGGACAGCTGTCTATCATAATTGATCAGTGCTGAAGGGAGATAACTCTGTAATCACCCCAGCACAACTCCCTCAGGTGATCATAAGCAGGTAACATTCCTTCTGATTTTTTTGTCAATCACTGACAACCTAGAACATTTGTAAAAATACCTCATCCAAAACATGAAAACCACAATCTTTTCAGGAAGACAGATCTACTGTGAACATGTTGACTTATTTTTGGAAAAATGCAATTGTTTTAACACATGTCTCCCAGTGATGCTTAAACAAACCTAAAACCATGCCAAGCTCCATGCTGAAGATGAGGAGTGTTATTTTCAGCACTGTGCAAGCATAAAGCCTGTCATTCTCTACTTGGTCTGGGTGAGTTCGTGATGGTATCACTACATCCCTGATTACAATAGCTGGGCCCATTATGTATTAAAACATCCACATCCACAGCTGGGGGGCCAAGGATAACACCTGAATCATACCCCACAGACAACTACTGCTGGGTGGTAGAGCCGGTGCATGTTCAGGCTGCCTTGTGCACGAGGAAGGCGGCTACTGATATTTGATGCAGGATTCTTTACTCATACAAACAGTTTAGACAGACTTTTTACCCCCCAGTCTTAACACACGGAATAAACAACAAGTTAATCATCATCACTCATGCATGAAACTAGATAAAAACTAAAAAGAATTAGTCCCAAAATAAAACAAACAAGAATTCTTATCTAAAATATTTACATTGCTAATTTGTTTCGATACAGATTTAGTGCCAGCTTTGCTGAAAGGGCCTTAAAGGTTTACTATTATCTCAACAGGAACCCAGGTGTGAATGCGAACATATAACCTTTACCAACAGCTGTGTTAGAGATAGATAAATTTGTACAAGGGCAAAGAATGATCATAGCTACAATCTAACAGCGATAACCACAGCAGCTGCAACAGCACCAACTAAATTCATGTCTGTTAATTCTTTCCACAGTGTTCTAGCAGACAGACATAAGTTCTCTTTATCTTTCCCTGGGGAGATAGCAATACCTTCATCCATTCCAAGCATGACACTTTAGAAATTTAGCAAGAGCAATTACAGCAGCCTATACATATATACAATGACGAGAAATCATCTTCAACTTACCTCCATTCTGAGCAGACACTACGCAATATCAGCTATCTATTTTAACACAATCATTGCACTTATACAGGTTTAACATACTTCAAACCTGTTTTGGAACTATGAATTAAAATCAAGATGCTTACGTAAATATTTACTGACCTAGTTTTTGAATGCCGATTTCCTCTAGGTCCTCCCAAGTGATGTCGGTGACGAAGTCGATGTTGTCGTAGCCCTGTCCGGTCAGTGTCTGGTAGTACTGTCCGAGGCCGAGTAAGTGAAGCCACTCCAGCATGTCATTCTGCAATGTATGTGCACTGAATGTCAAATGTGTTTGTCAAACTCGGGAGATATGTCACGTCAGGAGGTGTGTTGGCCCTGTAGGTCGGGTGTTCGCCTTGGCAGCATGACCACTCCCATGTACAGCAGCAGGATGCCAGTCTTGTTCCACAGGCCTACATCCAGGGGGTCTGGACCAACATGTCTATATACAGAACCAGCAAGGCAGCTTCACAGCCAACCAGTTTAACACTGTCAAACTAATGAGAGATCATGTTCTTCACTAAACAGTCTTCACAGGGAAAGCTGGTTTACTTTTGCAAAACAACAAAACAGATGAGACTGAACCTGCTTTGAAAGTGAAAAACTTTCATGCTTCAGAACAATTTTGAAATCCTGCTTCTATTTCACAAGTCAAACAAACAGGAAAATCAGGAAAGCATTACGTTCCAAATATCAAAGTTGAATTGCCATGCAATGATTCTTTCTGAGTTAGACAAGCAGGGGAATCAGCAAGCATTACATTCCAAAATCCAAAGTTGCATCTCTGAGGTGACGCTGGAATTAAAAGTGATTCTCCTCAACTGGAAACTCTACATCAAACAGCACCATCAACACATCACAAAGTCCACCAAAGTGAAATAACCAAGACACAAGTCTGTGGCCCTGTACATGGGCCAGCCAGCTCAGCCTGATGTGGTACAGCCTAACATGGTATTCTGTTCTATACACTAAGCTATGCTAATATTATTATACATGATGGCAAGTGAACACCTGTGTTCTATCTGTTAAAACCACTAGCTGTAGATGACATCTCTTATCCACACATGGATGAATACAGGCTACTTCACTGAGGTCAGAAACCATGGCAACAGTTTTATTACATATTTCCGGAATACAAAGTCTCTTACAGACAGAATTTCGTACTGCTTTTGGGTTTTAATGCTACACGCAGCAATATATCAGCTATATGACTCAACCTGTTAGCAATTACCCGGTAAGTCTGGATCAGACAATCCTATGATAAATACTGACTGAGTATGGATTTACACCGCTTTTAGCAGCAGGGGACACCAGAAATGGGCTTCACACATTGTACCTATGTGGGGAATCGAACCCGGGTTTACACTTTAACCACTAGGCTAAATGATAACAAGTGTTTGCCACTGATATGGCAATGTCCCCTGTCGCTAAAGAATGGAATATCTATATTTACTACTTTTTATTTTTGGGTCACATTCAAGATGCCTGAAATGACTGGTGTCTGCATAATCACCCAATGTAGACTGTCAACATACTTGAAAACATTGGGTGCAATGTTTTATGAGATATCACCTTTAAGAAGCGGTCAAAGTGTCGTGGTGACCTTGAAGATAAGGTCAAGGTCACCCAAATAAACTGGTGTCTGCGAAATCCCCCAATGTAGGCTGTCACCAAATTTGAAGACATTGGGTACAACAGTTCATGAGATATCGCGTTAACAAGAGTTTGAAAAGTGGTCAAAGTGTCGTGGTGACCTTGAAAATAAGGTCAAGATCACCCAAATCAACTGGTGTCTGGGTAATCTCCCAATGTAGGCTGTCACCAAATTTGAAGACATTGGGTACAACAGTTCATGAGATATCGCGTTAACAAGAATCGGGACATACGTACATATGGACGCCGCTGAATACATAGTCCCCCGTTCCGGCGGGGGACAAAAATAGTGACCACCAATCCACTCAGTAGGGGCATGATGTGGCCATGTCAATAATCCTGACAAATCCATCTATATAGTCACCTCCTGTGACTAGCAGATGCTGGGGGACCTTGTAACACAGACTTCCCCAGGGTACATCCATTCAGACCCTATATACACTATCACATACACCAGCACTGGATTGTAGCAGCTGATTAGGCAGTATGCTGTAAACATTTCTCCATCCTTTAACCATATTTTACACACTACAAGTGCATCTTTGAGGATGTTTCTAATCAATCTCTGTATATCTACTAAGACTTAATGCAAACCTCCATTGCTAAAACTTATGTGGAGAAAATACCATTTCCAAATTTCTGTCATAATGATCTTCCCAAGCAAGGATATTTATATTTCGAATGAAATTCAGATTAACATCACATCAGTGTTTTTCAGCCACATTATGTTTACTTTGAAAGTAAGATGAAATCCAGTTGATTGGACAGCAATTGGATTCAGATCAACAATTTCCAAATTAATGAATCATAGGTTTGTAGTAAAGTGTCTTAAAGGAGCACTGTGCTTCCTAATATTGAGTCCAGACAGGATAGTTCAAGACTGTGAAATCAGTGACAGGTGTGAGCCAGTGTCTCGGAGTTGTTAGGATTACCTTTAACCGAAAGGAATCAAATTTGAGGCAGGAGATATACAGTGGAAGCCCTTTAAACCGGCATTCGTTGGGACCGGCAAAAAACGCTGGTATAGAGGGCGCCAGATTGGTGGGCTGCCAGTTTACAGGGCTTCCACTGTATTAACTACTAGAATCTATTTAGCTTTGACTGCGATTTTGCTGAAAACTAATCCCCTTTAAGTACACAACATGCTAACACTAATAGCTCTGAATGTATATAATTTTAATAAAAACAAATAATTTATTTCAAACTGAAAAGGAGCCCTAGTGAGATGGGAGATAAACCTGAGGAAATCTAGACTTGCTTCATTAAGACGTTCAGTATTGCAGAAAAGGCTGGATGGAAGGGACAACGATGTGGTTGAGGGAGTGTGAGACAGACTCCTAACAGCCCTGAAGGTTAGATTGACAGGGTAATGGGGTTGAAGGGGCTGGACTTACAGGGCCTACACGACAGGGTCAAACTGACATATCATCAAGGCCTTGAGATGCAAACTCTGACAAACTCCACTTATATCTTTACATAGCATGTTCTGCAGGTTTACATACCGGTTTGAAATCTGGTATTCCATCATGAATATTCATGCGTGCTATCTCAGCTTTTAACCTCTTCCGATGTGCTGGCTTGGTAATCCCAATGGCTGTCAAATCCTGCAATGACAACATGCCATACGTAAACTATCTACAGTTCAAGATCTTCAAAATGGGTTTTATTGCATATTTCAGTTATCTGAATTGTAATCGTTCAGCACAAACATATCCCCACACATCACCGCTGGAGACACTAAGGACCAGCATGTCACATTTGTACTGATGTGAACTCATGTTTTTCAAGTGATGAGTAAAGAGCTCTAAGCAGGGAGAGCTGTACCTCCTCCTCTTCAGTCCTGCTTCCCAAGAAAGTTGAAAAAACCCCACACTTTCAGATAACTCACGTGTCACCCTAAATCATTTGTCTTTGTTCTATTCACACTGCATGAAGACCGTGGATGTGCTTGTGCTACCCTTTCAAGATTACAGGTATGCTGCCAAAGCATTGTTGTATCGGTTGGACCTCGTTATCATGACGGAGAAAGTTGATAATTCTGCAGTGGCCCTCGATACAAAACAACCTTGAGGACCCCTGCCCTTAATTGCATAATTGCAGAATAAATATAAAAATAAATTCTTATAGGGTAGCTTAATATTGTACAGCACATCCATCTGTGTCAACGTCATCTTACCTCGGGAGTCATGCGTGAGATGGTGGGCATGTCATATCCAGCTTGGCTGAACTTATCATAGTATTCGTCAAACTTGAGGTCACACAGCCAGGCATGGAGCACCTCATGGTCCTGGAGGTACAAAACATATAATTATTTTCCATTCCTCACTGAAGAAACTATCATCTGATTGGCCAGATCTGGTAAGAACATATGAAAGTCATATTGCCTCTCTGTACAGGTATCAGTTTTGTTATTCAAACATATGACATTTATTTTTTTATTAGTAAGAAGCATAAAGCAACATTTCTGTTGAAAAGTTTGTAAAGACAAAAACAAACGAATATATAAACTACACTTTTCTCAACAAAATTGAACTTGAGGGATTAAACAGAACTGACTGTCAAGCTATTAAAATTCTTCATTATTTCTTTTTATGCATAAGATAGAAAATGATGATTGATGTAAAATAAAATATCAGAAGTTTCCAATAGAAAAGATACAAGTGTCCTGCCATGCAAGTGTTGCTCTAGAAAGGGACCCATGACGATCTTGGTTAGAATTGGTCTTCAGCAACCCATGCTTGTCATAAGAGTTGACTAACAGGATCAGGTGGTCAGGCTCACTGACTTGGTTGACACATGTCATCGTATCCCAATTGCATAGATCTATGTACATGAAGTTGATCACTGGATTGTCTGGTCCACATTATTTACAGACCTTCGCCATATAGCTGGAATATTGCTGGGTGCGGCGTTAAACAACAAACAAAGAAACACTCTAGAAAGGGAAGCAACTGACTGACCTGCATCCCTGCATGGAAGAGTTCCGACACGTTGATGGTGCTGGCGTAGCCAGACTCCTCTAGACGATCAAGACTGCCCAGACTGGAACTGGACGTAGAATGGTAGCTCTGTCTGGACGACACACCCGACTCATAACTCTGGCCTGACAGGCGGTGCTGGCTGGAAACCTGCACATTCACCAGGTTGTGTACCTGCAGCATAACAACCCGATCTTAGACACAACATACACCACTGTAAAACACAGTCATCGACTTAAAAAAACACAGTAAAACCATAGAGACTTCCAGCAACACTGTATAATAACACTGTCTCAGTCTTCCTTATAACACTGTCTCAGTCTTCCTTATAACACTGTCTCAGTCTTCCCTATAACACTGTATAATGACATTCTTATTCTTCCCTATAACACTGTATAGTAACATTGTCTTAGTCTTGTCGCTATAACACTGTATAATAATATTATCTTAGTCTTTGCTATAACATTGTATAGTAACATTGTCTTAGTCTTCCCTATAACCCTGTATAATAACATTGTCTTAGTCTTCCCTATAACCCTGTATAATAACATTGATCTTAGTCTTCGCTATAACACTGTATAATAACATTATCTTAGTCTTTGCTATAACACTGTATTGTAACAGTCTTAGTCTTTGCTATAACACTGTATAGTAACATTCTTAGTCTTTGCTATAACACTGTATAGTAACATTATCTTAGTCTTCGCTATAACACTGTATAGTAACATTGTCTTAGTCTTCGCTATAACACTGTATAGTAACATTGTCTTAGTCTTTGCTATAACACTGTATAGTAACATTATCTTAGTCTTCGCTATAACACTGTATAGTAACATTCTTAGTCTTTGCTATAACACTGTATAGTAACATTCTTAGTCCTTGCTATAACACTGTATAGTAACATTATCTTAGTCTTCGCTATAACACTGTATAGTAACATTGTCTTAGTCTTCCTTATAACACTGTATAGTAACATTGTCTTAGTCTTTGCTATAACACTGTATAGTAACATTATCTTAGTCTTCGCTATAACACTGTATAGTAACATTGTCTTAGTTTTTGCTATAACACTGTATAGTAACATTCTTAGGCTGTGCTATAACACTGCATAGGAACATTATCTTAGTCTTCCTATAACCTATAAACTTAGTCTTCTGTATAGTAACATTGTCTTAGTCTTCGCTATAACCTAACATTATCTAAGTCTTCCCTATAACCCTGTAACATTGTCTTAGTCTTCCTTATAACCCTGTATAATAACATTATCTTAGTCTTCCTATAACCCTATAATAACAACCTGTATAATAGCATTATCATAGTCTTAGTCTATAACCCTGTATAATAACATTATCTTAGTCTTCCTATAACCCTGTATAATAACATTGTCTTAGTCTTCCCTATAACCCTGTATAATAACATTATCTTAGTCTTCCCTATAACCCTGTATAATAACATTATCTTAGTCTTCCCTATAACCCTGTATAATAACATTGTCTTAGTCTTCCCTATAACCCTGTATAATAACATTATCTTAGTCTTCCCTATAACCCTGTATAATAACATTATCTTAGTCTTCCCTATAACCCTGTATAATAACATTATCTTAGTCTTCCCTATAACCCTGTATATAATAACATTAGTCTTAGTCTTCCCTATAACCCTGTATAATAATAACATTATCTTAGTCTAACCCTATAACCCTGTATAATAACATTATCTTAGTCTTCCCTATAACCCTGTATAATAACATTATCTTAGTCTTCCCTATAACCCTGTATAATAACATTATCTTAGTCTTCCCTATAACCCTGTATAATAATGTTATCTTAGTCTTCCCTATAACCCTGTATAATAACATTGTCTTAGTCTTCCCTATAACATTGAATAACTGTAAAATGACAGTGACTTGGACTTTTACACAACGCCAAGCTCTCCAAAATCATTGTAAGAAAACACCATGGTGTTACAGTTCGAAACAACAGTTATTTCATGGTGGTCAGTTCTAATCTGGCAGGAAAAAAGAGATGGACATCTTTGATGCTTGTTATCATGGTTAAAAACATGAACATGGCCATGGATCACATGGATCACAATTGGGCTAATCTGGGCTTCAAACCCCCTAACCAGCACATCCAGCAATGGAGGGATACGATTCCACAAGGCAAGATACAGATAGACCTGCCCACAGAGCATGGAACAACCCACATTCTGACACAGACAGTGTACAAGATAATAGACTGCCAGCATTTGATGTCCACTGTGAGAAGACTAATGTGATTAGGACACAATGCTTCTACCTCAACACCTGACAGTCTTCTTCTCTGATGCAATGGACCACAAGGCCCCTGTCAATATCTGATTAAAAAACCTGATACTCTTGTTGTGATCTGTCTGTCTGATGTCTGCCTGACCATAAAGCAATCAATCCATTAGAGTTAGACAAGCTCTGTTAGACTAGAAGTGGGTTGGAAGTCAGAAACATTTGCTAGCCTTCATGAACACTGCCTGGCTTTGACTTGATTTAAGAAAATTAGAATTTAGTAAAGTGAGTTTCTGTTCCCTTCTGACAACTACTCCTCTTCACAGAATGAGGTGTAAATCATACATAACTTTGGAACTGTAAGACACTGATCAGATATCGCAGGGAAAGACCAGGGTTCCAGTGCTACGACAGTCTTAAGCCTTAAGTATGTGAGTTATGACAGTCTTGGCAGTAATATCACCTCCTGGAACAAGCACCAGGAGAACAGAACTGTAAGCTTGTTCCGGTCAACACAACTACAAAGTTTTACGACCCACACACCACCATCAAACATTAATATCTAATTCTGCATTTCCAACCCAACATTACCACAAATTCAACACTTGCCATTACCATAGCACATTACTAATTGAAAATGCCTTTCCTGTGATCTACAGTAAAAAACAAAACCTGAATTGTTTCATTTCGTAATTCCTCTTATCAATTTAAGTATGTTTGTTATAAAGGTTTAACTTCATAAATAATGTCCATCACAGACAAGCCATGTTTCTCTTCAACCTCCCCAGGAAAGATTACAACATAAAGCACAGTTTGAAGATTCACCATTTGATGAAGTGATCTTGTTTCGGAAGCTGAGATGTGCATTATTTGTGCAAAGGGTCTGCAAGCCTATTGGTATAAGAAAGACCGATGACTCAACACACACTAGCTACATACAAGCATGCAGGCTTTTCAAGGTGTGTATGTGTACCTGCATGCATCTGTGCACTAGAATAGATTTACCGTATGTGTATATTTGTTTGTGCAGAGAAGAATATATTGCTCTTTACACAACACATCTTTATAGTTACAGCAGACCTTTTTTTCTCACTGCCGAATTTGGCTCTACGAATTGAGAGATCAACAAAATATACACATGCACATGTCAAGGCTAACTGGAGTTCAGGACTAGCTGTTCTTAATCTTATTAGAAACCAAACAGTTTTATCCCTTTGTTTAGATTCATGGGGATTCTGGGATAAGACTGATCTGCATCAACATAATACTGGTTGTAAACCGACAATTGGATTGGTGAGGTGAGGTGAAATTGGGTTTAACGTCGTGCTTGAGAATGTTTCGCTCATATGACGACGTGCATGCGTGTGTATGTGTATGTGCGGTTGCTTGTACTAGCCCAGACTTAAGCTGGTTTTATAGTGCCAGCCCACTGAGATACCATGCCGCAGTGAAGCATGAATACCCCACTCAGACACCGAGCCGACCAGTCCTTGTTGTACCCAGTAATGCCGAGCGCCAGGCAGGGACCAACAAGTACCATATTTTAACGTCTTTTGGTATGACGCAGTTGGGGATCGAACCCGCGACCTTCCGCTCTCGGTGGACGGCTCTAACCCACCACGGAGGTGGTCGACAATTGGATTGGGTGGTCATACCTGGTGACTTGGTAAATAACGTGTCATTGTACTCTTACAGCATGGATCAATGCTCACCATGTCAATCACTGGATTGGTCCAGACTAAGTTATTTACTGAAATAATATTTCATGCATCGCTAAAAACCAAATAAATAGCACAAACTAGCATGAGTGAGTGAGTTAGTGAGTTGATCAAATGTTTTTCACCCATCTGATTGATCAATGTCTGAGTTTGGATCCATGCCATTGGAATAGAACGATCCACAAACCACCCAATACACATTTTTGTCTGTTCTTTTAAAAGCATGAGTTTAGGGAAACTTCATCTGGGAGGTTGAAAACACTGTAAAGGTTGCCTTTTACTTCAAACTTTGATGAACGAAAATAGCCAGCTAACAGTATCAGCAACAATTATCTCTGATGAACACAGTCATGTCTGTGGAGCACCGACACAAGAGAAAAGCTCAATTTCTAATGATGTACTGATCACAAGATAGATCTTCAGATATCACCTACAAATGTCATGTAGCAGATATATGTCTGTGATGATTTGTCTAATGATAACTCTCAGGTGACTCTCAAGACATTGCCACATATCTGACATTAGATCTAAGGGCATCCTACAACAATCTAAGGACCTGAAGACATTTGAAATATCCCAACTGCACCACAAATCACAATACAAAACCAATAAGAACCAAAGCCACAAAAATGTTATCGAATTTAGAAATTAAGGTCTCTGGCACTGGTATTTTAATCTAAGGAGAAACTAAATCATTAATTTTTAACAAGAGAATATTAACGAGAAATCTCCTTATTAATTATAACCTGTATTCTATCCTAACAGGAGTGGAGCAAACACGTCCTCCAACCTACTAGATTAGCACAAGTCTCCCAGGGATTATTAGCAATTTGCATCATACTTTCTAGATTCCATAATTCATGAGAACAAGCTGACTATAGAAAAGTCTGCCATACTAAGATGTACTGAGGAATTACCACATATCCATGTATAGTCTATCTCACAGGCCCTGAACCACATTATTTTCCCTACTGCCTAGCTCTCCCTGCAATGCTAAAGCCCTAAATGAAGCGAGTCTAGATTTCCTCAGGTTCTGGTCTCCCTGGGGCTCCTTTTCAATTTAATCGGGTGTATTTTGTACAAAATTATATATACATTCAGAGACTAAGCATTAGTCTAATCCATGGACTAATGTGTCGGTACAGCCTTGGAGCAAGGCTATCCAACCACCTGCTGTAGCTGTTCTTACAATACACATATCATGGCACAGTTAAGGAACTGTGACACACCAATTAAGTTGACTTAAAACAAAATGAAGAGACAATCATGTTTGTCTTACGAAGATTTTCAGAGTTATGCTCTTCAGAAATAGACAGACATTCTACCACTACATATACCAAGGTGCATCTTAATTGAATACATAAATAGGACAACCCGACAGTGGTGTTCAGTTTACCATCAATTTAAACTGTCTAAAGTCTTAAATCCAGAAGGATGTCTGTGTGCAAAATCAGTTAAATCTTCAACCAAATTTATTTACTTGGCTTATCAAATTTGAAAATGTCTTCAATTTCATTACCTGATGTCTGATTGAGATTACGATTCTGACTTCATTAAATACAAACTCCCTAGAAATCTGCTCAGTCTGTTAAAAAAGTGGCATTACCAAAACATACACGCACACAGCATCCGCTGTTAATTTCCCCAGAAATTATCCCCGATGAAGATGAAAGAAGCTGATGTGACTTTGCACCATGAGACTGGCGTTGTAAATACTGACAAGCATATAGGTCAGTGGGTCTGTTATTGCAGAACTGACTAGATCAGTGCAGATTGGGAATAGATCTGTTATATTAAATAGCTGCAGTGTGCATCTAGCTACATCTGCCTGCTAGCCAAGGCTGTCTGTAGTGTTCCTGGTTTACAAATGCACATGGAAGTCAACTGCAAGCACATGCTTGTTCAGGTGCTTTGAATGTTTACTTATATTTTAGATATTTCATAATTTTCATGCTGCTCTTAATTCATTGGCAGAGGTCGAGATATTTATCCTGTTCAGTGGTATTGTCGGGGAGATGGGGAAGGGGAGGTGGGAGGTGGGAAAAGAGAACATGATGTGGAGTCTTGGGTGTGGGTTGGGCTCCAGCAAGAAGGGTGGGGTGAGATAATATGCACCTTGGCCTGGGAGGTTTGGTTCACACAGGGATCAGGGCTTTTGGTGGGAACATGGCAGGTTGAAATGTTGAGACAACCCTCTAGTTCTCCCTCAACAAAGACGGAGTGTTCTTTCTTCACCTTACATTCGGATGAATCCACACATTCTTCAGTTAGTCAACTTTTTAAGATTCACTAATGAGGATCAGATTAGATGCAAGTGCAGCAGGAGCTCCATGACGCCCGAGCCAGCGATTACATCATCTGACGAAGGAAGAAAAGCTAATGTCAACACATGCTCCAACCTTGGGTTCAAGATGTCCAGTGCTGACTCCCCTGCCACTGTCACTGCTGGCTGCGCTGTTGCGGTTGCTGTTGGCAGGGCTGTTGGTGTCCTTGGCAGGGCTGGAGGCCCTCATGTCCCCCTGGCCGGCCTGTAAGGATATATATGATGGTGGCCAGTCGGCAGCATGCTCACTGTGGCTCACCAACACCTTGCCCCCAAGGTACTGCAAGAAGAGAAACACACAGTCAGACACAAATAGCAGAATACTGCACCAAATCAGGGGATTCTATGTCACCACAGGTTCCCAGAAACATATCTTGGTCATAAGATGTGTCCAAGCGGAGTGTCCACTAGAGGTGTGACGATACAGAAATTTCACGATACGATACGTATCGCAATATCTTGGAACGATACGATTCGATACGATGCATATCACGATATGCTATATTTAGTTATTTTCTTTAAAAAAGTGTATTTTGATAATTAGTAACTGTAAATTTTGACATAACTGTCAATTTCTAGTGAAAATATCTAGTCACAATTTTTAGGTCAACGATACATATCACAATTTTTAGGTCAACGATACATATCACGAAAAAAAAGTATCGATATATTTATTGTCAGAAAAGGTATCATGATTATTGATACTACGATATATCGTCACAGCTTTATTGTCCACAGGGCCCCATTCAACAAAGCGATCTTAGCGATATGATGATCGTCAGCCTATGTTAAAGTATGAGCGTTAGGATCATCCTAGTACTAAACTGATACAAATTCTCGTCATAAGGTTGTTGTTGGTCGGTTTGTTGTTTAAGGCCACACTCAGCAATATTCCAGCTATATGGCGTCAGTCTGTAAATAATCGAGTCTGGACCATACAATCCAGTGATCAAAATCATAAGCATCGATCTACACAATTGGGATACGATGACATGGGATAAGATGACATGTGTCAACCATGATGAATATATCATATTAGAATGTATAGTTATGTAGCTCATGACAGTTTACAAAAGTAAACTGAACATCATGGTCATGACCCTAATGACCTGATTGAAATATGAAAGGAAAAGGCCTCAATAGCCCCATGACTCCCCGTAAGGTCAAACACAGCATGGTGATGGCTGGGGCAACCATGATACTCATGGCTGGGCTTTAGTTCAACAATCTCAAAATTGGTTTTCATTCTGTATTTTTAATCAATAAATGGGCAAAATGAAATGCAAGGTAAATATTATACCCATACAGGGATTCAAACTCAGTTATTTATTTATGAGCAAACACATTACCCACTAGGCTAAGCAATTTTCATTATCATCTAAGCTGCTGCTGCTGATAGTTTCTAATAATCTGTTGCAATACTGCATTGTTTCATTTACCACCACACAACAACCACATTCCACTATATTCACTTATTCATAACAGCCTTTATCGGCCAACAATAACGCTTAAGTCATATCAGTTAACACAATCTGATAATACCAATCCAAGATGTGTTCCTTAATCTCCCTGCTATGGATCGACCCTAACAGCCATATATATACAGAAATATATTCACTGCATACCAAAGTCCATTACTGGCAGTCTAAGAGAAGGGTTCCTTCACTAGGAACACCATCAGTTATGCCCCAATGGGTCGTCCTCAGGGTAGAGTGCCTTATCCATTATTCACGACCCTGTTCCTTTAATCAACACATGACATTCACAAATGTGGGTTGTTCATTCACAACACTTCTCAAGAAAAATCTCCTTTCTATACAGCAACAGAAAACGTTCAACTCAAACACATACGAAATTCTGATTTTCATTAAACCTTGAAAAAGTTTTCAGACGCTTCTGAAAAGCAATACCAAATACTTTACTGCTGTTGCTAGAGTTAAACTACAGGAACTGCTGTAAAACTGTAGACATGTTAAATATTATTCATATCATAAGAGTATCTGCTCAAAAAACTCCCAGATGCTATCACATACCCCAATCAAATGTCACATCCTAGTTTTAAAGGAGGTTCTCATGAGTCTAATTTCACCACTCTCACTAGTAATTGCCAGCACACATTGCATATTCCAACAAAATGAAATTAATATGTTCAACAATGTATGCTATAAATCATATCAGCAGTAGGGACCAGGATTAGGGACCCTGTATGTTCCCCAAGGAGTTGAGAAAGTATTGGAATGTATGATAGTGTCCTATGATGGGGATAGTAATGCACGTAGAGCGTGAGCAGGCAATGTGCCCAGATATGAGGGCCATATAAGCGGACTATTTCCCTGAAAACAACCTATTGTGAACAGTTCATATCTGAGGGCTATTCAATAAACCTGACAGGGAGACTGGCCAGACCCAGAATTATGGAACCCAAGACGAAGATCCATACTGAAAAATCACAAACAAACAGATATTCAAGTAACATGTTATTTCCACCATCTCCGTATCAGTTTTTTGAGAAACCTGTTAATAATACCATCCTGACTGGGGTCTAACACTTGCCACTGGGCTATCTGGCTCTATCACCAATTTCTATCTTGGCACCTCTCATACTGCTATTTCGGTGCAGCTTGCAGAACAGAGACATCCACATCTAGATTGCAAATTTCTGCAACGCAATATTCTGTGACTACTCAAACAAGATAAAAGTGACAACCACCCACGATTTAATATCCATTACATCCATGAAGACAGATGGAATATGTAAATGTTCCAGGTCTTGGGATAATAGCAAGCGAAATGTCATAATACTGACACAAAGATTGTTTTATGTACATAATATACACCTTAACATGCACAAGTTATGAAAAGAGAAATGACAGCAACACTTTGGTGAAAGGTCAAGTAACTCTTAGAAAAAAGAAGGTTTATTTATCTTGTATGAAATGTTCTTGGAACTGGTTTTTGCAACATCTTTTTTAGCCTTGTTGAAGTCGGAGTAATTTAGCAAGATTAGTTTTATGCCGCTTTTCGCAATATTCCAGCAATATCACTGTGGGTGACACCAGAAAATGGCTTCACACATTGTACTCATGTAGGGAATCAAACTTAGGCCTTCAGCGTGATGAGCGAATGCTTTAACCACTAGGCTACCTGCCGCCCTGTTGAAGTCGGAATGTGCTAGGTAGTAGCAACTGAAATGGGTCTGGTAGTCAATTACAGACCCTTGAGTCTTAAGCAACAACCAGCCTCATGCTATTCTCACGACTTCACACCTCCAGCATCATATTCTCGCCTCCTGTACAACTCTAGCACCAATCACTAAAGCCCTTACCAGCTCCAACATCCCAATCCTACCCCTTCTAGCTCTTGCATCCCAGTTGTATCTGCAACTCTAACATCCACATCTCTAGCATCCCAATTGATAGAAGTGGTGTAAAGCCACATTTACATATTGAACACAGCATATAACATCTACATAGCTCTTGCTATTGGCTGCAGTCATCCATACTGACCATTATTCAATGCCAGATTAGTCAATACAGAATCCTTAGACATATGCAAAGTAACGCAAGTAGTTTTGGGGGGAAAAAATAGAAAAGTTCTCATATAATTCACCAAAAGCCCAAGTAATCCCACCTCTCTTGGACATGACTTACTGGAATGATGGTTTTGTTTGCCTTTGGTAAAATCATTAGTGAAAATCAATAAAACGTCATTGACTCAAGTCTAACTTAACAGTTAGGGCAAATTTGTCAAGTTATTGTCATCTTCACATGCAGACAATTAGTGACACAAAGAAGCTGAGAATGTTTGCAATATGAATTAACCAAATAACAATGGCAACAAAGTTTGTTTTCTAGCAATGACAGATGTTGAATCGAGTGACACAGGAGCTGGAGAAATAATTTAAATGTCTTCGCTGACACAACGCTGCTTGTCAAAAACTCCACTCATCACTCCATCTTCCAGCACTAGTGGCCACTACAGACTTGGTAATTCCTTGCTTTTCAACAAACATTGACCCAACAGGAGAGTATGCCATCTCAAGCTGATGCCACATAGAAACAGGAGCTCTCCCAGTTGTCAAGTGCTTCCTTCAGAAAGTATCCAATGTTAAAGTCAGCAAGTTTGAGGCATCTTTACGGCCAGTAGAACTGATAGTCTATGCCAGTAGAATTGGTAGTCCATATTCAGCATTGGAGCAGAGGAGGACTACGAGAATAACAGAAGCTTGATTAAGGTCAATGACTAGTGTATATTAGTAGATGTTGGAGCCAATGTGACCGATTTATCTGCTGGGAAAAGGGACGGAACAATTTCATTGCTCTTCACATGTCATCACTCATCAGTCTGTCCAATCGGGTGTGATTTACTGAGAGGAATCCATACCAATCACCTACTGCATATTCCGCTGACAAACAATGGACCCCATAGCTCACTGCAATATTTGCTGGTCTTGGTTCAGCTGTATTGTTGCAGGCACTGATGTTCTAATTCAGACGTTGTTCATTGATACAATGAACAAACAGAAAGCAAAACCTGTCGCCTGAAGTTAGTCTTTCTGCTCCAACCTTCCACCATCTTGAAATATGACAATTCAACAGAATTGCATTAGTCTCAAAGTGATTTTTAAATCTAATAAAGATTTCACAAAAGGACCCAAAAGACTTCAACAATCAGGACTGATGGAAGGATTTATTTAGAATGTGATATTTACATTCACATCAGGAATTGTAGCAAGAAAACATGTTGTTAGAAAGAACTTCTGAGTTTGAGACACTTCAAGCATTCCACTGATTGAACATTTTCCTAGCTCTAAAGGTCCCACTGGATATGTTTTACATAACAATTCAGGGAATTCTTTGAACATGTCATCTGCAAACAAAATTTCATTTCAGAAAAAAACATCCAATGAAACATGACATCCTGAAAGCAGTGCTTCCTGAGGAGTACACCCAAAATAGACTGTCATACACATTTTATGACTTGGTCTATAATTTGGAAGAGCACCACAAGCTGTACCACTTCAAAGAAACCAGCACTGCAAGAGGATATTAATATACAGTATTAATAATTTCATACCGCAACTGTTGCAATATTCAAAACAAATGCAGGCTACAACCTCAGCACCAGGTCTATTACATTCCACTGATGTTATGATACAACACAAATCTGATGATATGAAACAAGTTGCACCCATCTATGACTAGATTCATGTTTTAAATCTTTAGAATTGTTAAAAAGTATTATTAAAGAAGTTCTGCAATTGCATTGTCTTACATGTTC